CGAAGGACTAAAAAGAACCCTTCAAACAGATTATGTTTTAAAGGTAATTCTCTTTAATTTAGTTGTAACCGTACTTTTTAGTTTATTTGTTAATTTTATCAGTTGCTTGCCAGATCCTTGGACTTGACATCTGTGCTGACACAATGGCGGGAAATGTCATGAGAAGAGGTATTTCTGGTGGTCAAAAAAAGAGACTTACTACAGGTAAGTTTAGCACAAACGTTCGAAGGTTCATCGGTTAACCTCAAAGGATAGTATTATGTACCTTTAAGGATCTATTTTTCATTGAATTATGCAGGGGAAATGATTGTCGGTCCTACAAAAGTTCTAATGATGGATGAAATATCAAACGGTTTAGACAGTTCAACTGCATATTAGATTATTACCTGTCTCCAGCAAATGGTGCATATCACAGATGCTATTGCATTGATTTCGCTTCTTCAGCCTGCGCCAGAAACCTTTGAACGCTTTGACGACATTATTTTGATGGCAGAAGGAAAGATTGTGTATCAAGGACCACGCAATAAGGTTGTAGAGTTTTTGGAGGACTGTGGATTTAGGTGTCCCGAAAGAAAAGGTGTAGCTGACTTTCTGCAGGAGGTAAGTGGAGCTTATAGTGATTTCTTCCATGCTCAAATTTTAGTTGATCACCTCTTTGATTTTTTGTTTGGCAGGTGATATCCAGGAAGGATCAAGCACAATACTGGTACCGCACTGTAGATCCCTACAATTATGTTTCAGTTGATGTGTTCTGCATGAAATTCAAGGAATCTTCTCTTGGTAAGAAGCTATATGAAGATCTCTCATTGCCATTCGATAAGTCGAAAAGCCATAAGGATGCTCTTTCCTTCGATGTGTATTCTCTTTCCAAATGGCAACTGTTTAAAGCTTGCATGTCAAGGGAAATTCTTCTCATGAAGAGAAATTCTTTTATCTATATATTCAAAACTGTCCAGGTTATGATTTATCCTTCATAGCCTTTCATCATTTATCCTTCTGTGCATTAGCCTGGAAAATTTTGAAATACGTAAGGACTTTCTTGTTACATATTATCATCATTGCGTTTATCACGATGACCGTCTTTATAAGAACTCGAATGGACATTGATCTTCTTCATGCCAGTTACTACATGGGAGCCCTGTTCTTTGGACTAGTAATACTTCTTGTCGATGGCATTCCGGAGTTGAGTCTGACTACTGCAAGACTTCCAGTTTTCTATAAACAGAGGGAATTGCGCTTCTACCCTGCTTGGGCATATGCAATTCCAACTGTGTAATGCCCCACTTGAGGTATATAGTTAATTTATTGTTGCATTGCTTGAATGTTTATTGATTTGTTCTCAATTGAGCTTGCATGTTGTTATTTTTTGTTGGTTGGCCCTTAGTTGAATTTTATTAAAGTTATTTTGAGAAAAAAATGTGAAGGAAATCCCTTAAACTTTCATTAAGGGTAAAATAGTTTTTTCACTCAAAACNTTAAGAATTTGGGCGTGGAAGCCGAGTGTGAGATTGTTCAGGGGAAGCCACTTCCAACTCTATGGAATTCTGTTAAATCTTCACTTTCTGTAAGTATCTTCATCTTCTGAGAATTGATTACAAGCAAATTGAAATGATTTATCAGCTAATTGGACCTTTGTTTCATAGGTCTTTTCAAGGCTTCCAGGTTCCAAGTCAAAAAGAGCAAGGATAAACATCATTAATGATATCAGTGGCATCATTAAGCCTGGAAGGTATATGCTAGCTAGAGATTTCTTTTTTCTTTTCTTCTTGTTTATGGCTAAGTTGTGGATAAAGAAAGTCTTTATTGCTAGCAGAAATTTCTGTGGAGGAAAATTTGCAAGGCTGTTGGCGATGTGAAACCGAATTTGTACTTAATTATGCTTGAATTACTGCAGGATAACTCTTCTGCTAGGCCCCCCAGGTTGTGGGAAGACCACCCTTTTGAAGGCTCTCTCAGGAAATCTTGACAAATCTCTAAAGGTTTTATAATTTCTTTGTAGTTCATCATCATTTTGATTACAATTAGAATATTGTTCTTTGAATATCGAAGACATTCATTCAGTTAGGAAGCGAATCTAGATTACTTAATTCAGATATTGAGTATGCTTATGAAGAAAGATATGTCATATTGTTCCTAGTCATATGCTTATGTATACACTCTTAGTCTGAGGGCATTGAAGTAAGTAAATATATTTTGATGGCCTACTTATTTACTAAGTTCTGTTTTGCTTTTCTTCGACAGGCGACAGGAGAAATTTCGTACAATGGTTACAGGCAACACGAGTTTGTTCCCCAGAAAACTTCAGCTTATATAAGCCAAGAAGACCTGCATATAGCAGAAATGACTGTGAGGGAAACACTTGATTTTTCTGCCCGATGTCAGGGTATTGGAAGCCGAGCAGGTAGGTTTCACTAAATTTAATTCTGTGAATTCTTATTAATTCTCAAAAGCAACTGATAGTTACAGAAATATCTTTCTTTTGCCTGCGTAGATATCATGCTGGAGGTCAGTAGAAGAGAGAAAGAGTTGAAAAGCCATTTGATAAGTTGAAAAGCCACAAGGATGCTCTTTCCTTCGATGTGTATTCTCTTTCCAAATGGCAACTGTTTAAAGCTTGCATGTCAAGGGAAATTCTTCTCATGAAGAGAAATTCTTTTATCTATATATTCAAAACTGTCCAGGTTATGATTTATCTTTCATAGACTTTCATCATTTATCCTTCTGTGCATTGGCCTGGAAAATTTTGAAATATGTAAGGACTTTCTTGTTACAGATTATCATCATAGCATTTATCACGATGACCGTCTTTATAAGGACTCGAATGGACATTGATCTTCTTCATGCCAGTTACTACATGGGAGCCCTGTTCTTTGGACTAGTAATACTTTTTGTTGATGGCATTCCGGAGTTCAGTCTGACTACTGCAAGACTTCCAGTTTTCTATAAACAAAGGGAACTGCGCTTCTACCCCGCTTGGGCATATGCAATTCCAACTGCTATTATGAAAATCCCTCTTTTAGTAATTGAATATGTTGTATGGACATGTCTTACCTACTATGTCATTGGATACACCCCGGAGGCCTCGAGGTAAGTTTCACTTGAGAACGCTGTGTTTATTAACTTTGTTAATTATGTCAAGAAAACGATAGATTTCTGATATATAATTGTATGTGTTGATTTCAGGTTCTTCCGTCAGCTCATTCTACTTTTTGCTGTGCACTTGGCATCATTATCCATGTTCCGATGTTTGGCATCAGTCTGCCATACTGTTATTGCTGCTACGATAGCCGGTGGTTTTCGACTATTATTTGTCATGATATTTGGTGGTTTCATTATCACACATCGTAAGGATTTTCAGACGTTCTCACCTTTGATTACAGAATTTTCACCTAAATGGATAAACTTATGGTGTGTTTTTGGTTGTAGCCTCTATGCCAGTGTGGTTGAAGTGGAGTTTTTGGGTTTCCCCTCTTACATATGGAGAGATAGGTCTTTCTGTAAATGAATTTCTTGCTCCTCGGTGGCAAAAGGTGAGTCTCTCATAGCTGACGTTATTATCTCTTTAAACTATTTCTTGCTGTTTAGTAAACCATTAGCATAATGCATGTACTGATTAAAATCTGAAGAAAGAAACTGATTTCTTAATGTTATTATAGATGCTGCCTACAAATGCTACAATAGGGAAAGCAATACTTGACAGCCGTGGACTAAACTATGAAGGACTTCTCTTGTGGATATCACTTGGTGCCTTGTTTGGATTTGTTTTACTTTTTAATACTGGCTTTGTCTTGGCCTTAAGTTTCTTGAAGAGTAAGTTATTCATTCTAGCTTTCATATCTTAACTAAAGAAAAATCGTGACCACCAGGTTCTTAACTCAATTGAATGGAAATGCAGCTCCTGGATCATCTCGTGCCATGATTTCACGGGAGAAGTTTGCCAAGATCCTAAGAAGTCCAGGTTCCAATAATGTCGAACTTGTAGAAGAAAAGACTAGAAATCCTCCTAATCAAGCATCTAATAAAGGTTAATTCAATTCTCATGTTGTAGCCTGTTTCTGTCATATTTGTTTCAACTTCAATGTTTTGACATTTCTTCAATGTTTTCAGGCAGGATGGTCTTACCTTTTGAACCGCTAACACTAACATTTCAGAACATGAACTACTTTGTTGACACTCCTTTCGTACTCCTCATTAACCGTTCTGGATTCACCATCGTTGTCATTGCAGGATCTAATTGTATAATTTTTACTTCGTTTTAGGAAATGAGGGAACAAGGATTTGCAGACAAGAAACTTTAACTACTTTATGATGTTACGGGCGCATTAAGGCCTGGTGTTCTTACAACACTAATGGGGGTTAGTGGAGCTGGGAAAACCACTCTTCTTGATGTTCTTGCTGGGAGAAAAACTATTGGCTATATTGAGGGGGATATTAAAATCGGCGGGTACCCTAAGGTTCAAGAAACATTTGCTAGAATTTCAGGTTACTGTGAGCAAACTGACATACATTCTCCTCGAATCACAGCAGGAGAATCTTTGATGTTTTCTGCGTGGCTACGGCTGTCTCCTCAGATTGACTCTAAAACTAAAGCTGTAAGCACACCCTATATATAGCATTTTCACCAATTGTATTTAAAGAATGTAGTTGAGACCGGAAGGACAATTGTATGCACTATCCACCAACCAAGCATTGACATATTTGAAGCATTTGACGAGGTAAAAATAATAGATTTTAGACTTTGATTGCTAAATTCTGATGTTTCTTGCTATCACTTCATTATGTTTTAAGGCTTTACTGATACAATAACCTTTCAAATTTAGTTGATCCTTTTGAAAGGGGGTGGATGCGTTGTCTATTCTGGAGAATTGGGAAGGCATTCAAGCAAGCTTATAAAATATTTCCAGGCTAGTTTTCTATGAATGTACTTGTTCGATAATGTGCATTTCCTCCTAAATTTTCTTGTTGCTTCTTGTACCTTTGACAAAACAACTTTTTCAAATAGAGTATCACTGGAGTACTGAAGATTAAGGATAATTACAATCCAGCAACATGGATATTAGAACTCACTTCTCCTTTTTCCGAAATATACAAAGATTTTGTTCTAAATGGGTAAGTTCACTTTCAATGATTTCAAATGTGGTTGTGTGCTAAGTTTAATGCTGCACTTCATATCAAATTAATCTTTTGTAGGAATAACAAAGAGCTTGTAAGGGATTTTAGTACTCCGCTTCCTGATTCAAGAGATCTGCATTTTCCAACGTGCTTCTCCCAAAACTTTTGAGGGCAATTCAAGAATTGCCAATGGAAACAAGTGTTTATCCAATTTGCACCGAATCGTACACGTTATGATAGCATCTTTTGTTTTTGGTGCGCTCTTTTGGAATCAAGGAAGAAAATTGTAAGTTTAATTGGTACTTCTAATATACATGTTATCCCTCAAGAAATTGTCTGTGTTTGCCCGGTATCTAATTTTCATTTTTTTGGTTTTCCCTCTCAATCTGTTAGGGATGACGAGCAAAGTTTGTTCAATATATTTGGTGCATTATATGTTGCTGTGATATTTTTAGGTATCAATAATTGCTCAACAGTTATATCATATGTTGAGACAGAGCAAACTGTTATGTATCGAGAAAAATTTACAGGGATGTACTCGCCATGGGCTTATGCATTTACGCAGGTATAATAATCTTCACAACTAATTATATTTGTAAAAAACATTGCTAAAATTATCTTATGATATGTGTGTTACTTGATTTTGTCGGCGACAATTGAGATTCCTTATATATTTGTTGAAGCATTTGTGTTTGTAATAATCAATTCATATTTAAATATTAAAATTTGATATTTTTTAGCAAACCTTTTCGCCATAGCTATTTATTTTTTAATACCCTTTTCCGATAAAAGATTTTAATTCTACACCCATTGAGCCTATAACATGTCTATTTATAAAGAATCTTTCTTGTATATAGAACATTATTCTCATTCTTTTGATTTTTCGTGCAAATATTGTCAAAATATTCCACTCCTTAATATAACTTGATTATGTTTATATTTAAATTTATATGTCTAAATATATTGTAGTCGGGTTACATTATATAATAAATAATTATTATGTAATATTTTCTACAATAGTTTATTTTGCTAAGAAAATGTTATAATAATAACCGTACAATGAAATAATAAGTCACTCCACATCATTTAGTTGGAGAGAGTCTGGTCTTCAAATTGTTATTAGACTTTATTCTCATATAACACGAGCCCTTTTAAACGAAAATTTCAAAATAAAATTGTTCACTCAAAGTATGGACAATATAGATTGTATTAATATGCAGCACTACCGTTGTTACAAAAAATCACACTAACCGGAGAAATCCGATTGACCGTGATGAAATCAAAACTGTTATTCGTGATTAATTAAAATAAGCAATGATAATGTAAAATGTGCAGTAATGTGAAAAACACAAACAATTTTAAAGTGGTTTGGCAAGTTAGAACTTAAGCCTACGTCCACTATTTTTCTTATTTGATTTTTGAGAGCTTAAAAAAAAAATAATTGCCTAGAAATATTTACTAACCCCTCCCTCATTATTTGAGAGGGTATTTACATAAGTTATGATAAAAGGAAAGAGAGATAAGTTCGAGATTGTGATCATAGTTGATTTGTAATTCCGTGATCTTCGTGATTGAGCTAAGATTACGCTACTAGTGGTGTTGATCTTATCTCTCTCGAAATATCAGAGATTGAAATTTATATCTGATTTTGTTAACCAACTGTTAGGATTGGTCGTTGTGACGAGCTCCTTTTGGATCGAGCTTACTCTGGATCGACCTGATTCTAGGTTGACCTTGTTCTTGGATCGAGCTCACTTTGGGTCAAGCTACATCTTTGCGAGCTCCCGAGAGCTGCAAGCTTTCTGGCCAAAACACACACAATATCTGCCGCTTAGTGTTCGGAGGTTGTGTCGAGCTTCAAAGACTGAAGTTGCTTGATTGGTCACTTAGATCGAATTCCTTCGTTCCAATTTAACTCGCACATAGGTTGCTAAGATTATCTGAGCTTTGTCACTAGACCATAGCTTCACCCAACGTACCTAAGACTTAGCCTCTTGTTGTAATGCTGTTGAATTTGAAATTTGAAATGACGGGCACAAGGGTAATTTCAGAGCTATGATTGTGAATATAACATATTTTTAATCTTATTGTGAATATAACATATTCCTTCCAATCAAACATATCAATATAACATACTCTCCAATTTAATCTTATCTAACTAAACATGTTTTTAATAAGATTCCCAATAATCTTCAAAGTTATCTATCTTCTCATTAATATAACATTCTCTGAACCAAATACCCCTATAGTAAAAGTGTGAATGTCTAACAAAAAATGATCTTTTATTTTATTTTTACTAATAATCCATTAATCCCTAACATATGAAGGTGCAACATTGAATGGAGGATTGGAGTAATGTTTCCTATTTACTGTATTTAGAGTTTTGATTACTTTTGCATTTAAAGCGATGGGTATATTCATGCATGCGACGTCTTCTACAGTCACTGGTGGTCATGCGCAGATGTCAGGCTTTAGCATGCAATCAGCTGAAATTTTAACTTTGACAAAGCACAGTTTATTATTTTTTCTCTCTCATTTTTTTTTAATTTAATTGTTTTTAGCATTTATTCTATACAGAGATTTTGGGTGGTCGGAGCTACTTTGAAAATTTATTTCCTAAAAGAATTTACTCCTTTTTCTATACAGATAATTACCTATTCCTGAAAATGTCATTCTTCCTATCACAGAGTCCATTGCTTCATCTTAATTAATTGGGTAATATATATATATTGGGATAAATCCGGAAATTCTATTAAAAAATAATAAAAATAATTATTTTTAGCATTTATTCTGTACAAAGATTTTGGGTGGTCGGACCAAGAGAACAACTTGGACTGCCCAAGAATTCACCTCAACAAAGGCCAAGAGACACTAGGCCTAACCAGCTAGCCTAACTAAGGCCCATAAAAAGAACTAGGCCTTTCCAAACACTAAGCTCAAAAGCTATACAAAAATAACAAAGTCCACATCATTCGGGCCAAACAATTAATCCAGCTAATCAGATTATTTTCTTTTTGAGAGTTGACAAACCATCACCTGGACGGACGGTCCATCATCCATTACTGTCCCACAAGCCCAAACCATTACAGCAAAACAAGACACCCAGCACCCACAGGCCACAGCCTAATTTTCTTAGTCCCAGACGGCCCATACACCAGATCCTTAGAGATACAGTGTTTGTAGCAAACCGCCAACAGACTATAAACTATAAAGCATACCACAACAGCAAGACTTCTCCACAACCTTAATCACGTCCCGAGGCACACACCAGTCCCACCGGACATAGATCATATTAAACCAAAAGGTTGTGGGAGCTGTTTGCTCTCAAGACGCCTCCTAGCACAGCCCCTTTGCACCTCCATGAGGAGAAGATCATAACTTGAAAAAATCCCCCAGCCCTGGATCCAAACGATCCTTAAATCAGCCATCATACATTTTCCGCTGCTGCCCCACCAAACAAGGAAAGAGCAGGAGTAAATATTACACCAACACCAATTAAAATCCATAAAATCACCCTGTTCTGTCCTGCCCCCTCTTGATACAGCTCTGGGGTAAACCCCACGAATACACCAGATTTCTCACGGCAGATGAGTCTTTACGATATTTTACCAAATCTTAATTAATACCAGTGCTCTCATGGTTTATCAATATACCGATACTTCACTGATTCTCAAACATATTTGATGAAATTGAAAAATAGGCCATGACGATGTGGCTTTGGTACCATGATAGATTATGATGGGTTAATTTTACTGAGTTGAGAAAGTGCGAGGAAATGCACAAGAAATAAAGAAAGTATAGTGAGTTTGAGAGAAAATGAGTACAGTTCAGCTTTTATACAACAATGAGGCGGTTATTTCCCACCTCATTAACACGCAAAAGATGTCCGGTTCGCAATTATTTAGCGCCTGTACTACAAACCCAGAAGCTTAAAACCATTAAGCTTTTACAACCAGAACAAGTAAGCAAGCTTAATCCACCTTGATAGCATAAGCTATCCGATTCAGCAAGTAGACGGTAGTAACAACTGCATCTGTCCAACGTCAGGGTACATGAGCTGCCGTTTTGTGTTTTGATGTTATTGAAACGCATCGTTTTATTAAAAATAACTAACAGAACCAAACGAATCTACTCATTCTGTTAATTCAAGACACCTTATAGTATTCCCATCTTCTATTAACAAACTGTTAACCGTCAACTAACTGCCTTTTAAAACACAAGCTCAGTTCTTCTGTTCTTACAGTTTTCAATTTTGCTTCTCCTGCTTCTTCTTCTTCTTCTTTCTTCACATTAACATGTTTGGATATCAGTTGTCCATCTACATTATTAACATACAGTTTACATTTGATGATTTGTGTAGCCATAAAGATGAAAAGAGCCTCCACTGCAGCTGAAATCATTCTCAAATTAGTAAAGATAACCTTAGGTTCTGTTACAATTCTATAGCAGCAATTCACAATGAAGTAAAAGCTGAAGCAGAACAATCAAGATGGAAACAAAAGGCCCTTTTACACTCTAACTTCAGCTAGGGGAACACAAATTACAAATAAAAGAGGTCTTGCTCCATAAGTTTCAACCAAGTTTGACCTATATTAGTTTCAAAATTCGAATCTTTCTGTAAATATAGAGCCTTTGACAACAACAGAGACTACTTTTGAAAAGACAATTTCATCAAATAGCATTGTAATACACTAAAAGTTAATTACATAGACATATTAAGGCACCCACAAATACACACTTAATTAAGTCATCAATAAAATACACAGTAAAGGAATGAAAAACAACCTCCACTATTCAAATCAACCTTAAATGAGTGAAGAAACTAAGTTCTATAACACTTTCAAAGAAGTAATTCACAATGAAAGAGGGCAAAAGCAGCACAAGAGGAACGCAAACAAAATTCCCTTCCACTCTCACTTCAACATATGGACCAAGAGCCATAATACCTCACAAACCATTTAGATAGGATGCCTTAATCCGGAGACTGCATCGAAGTTTGACCTAAATTTTTCCAGAACTCTTGATATTCTGTAAATATAGAAGACAACAGGTTTAAATTGAAAGTAGATGCTATAGGGAAATGTTGTTTTGAACTATATATTGGTGATAGTTTATCAAAGAAAAAGAAAATGTTTCCATGATCATGAAGTTTTATTTTGGCCTCTAAATGACCTTTATGCTACTATATTAATTATCAATTATACTGTAGCTTTTGTATTCTTAAAGCGTTATTGACTATATTAAATAGAGAAGAGATAAGGCATATTATAAAACAAATATAAGATTAAAGATACGGTCATGAGAATGGATCCAAGAAAAGTAATTTTTAACTAACCTCTTTCATGTGAAGATGTTGTATAGTTGTGTTGAGGTCACCTTCCTAATACTTTTCATTGACATAATAGATCTGATTTATTCTGGTAAAGTTTGGTGTGTTCATCTTGGGGCATTTTTGCACCACTATGTATTCCAATCAAGGAATTACAGGTTGTGATTCTCAAAGCATCTGATCTTTCCCCTTTCAATCCTTAATTTGTGAGTGGCAGGTGCGGATTTTACAAACATGAAGGCACACCATTGTTTTCTGAACTAAAATCTGCTTTCTCCTGTAAATATTTTCTGTATCTCTTAGGCTTTGATAACAAGATGTGAGCAAACCAAGTAAATATGAAACAGAGACAACAAGAAGACAAACATAGCACAAACTATAGCATAACGGAACATCAAAATAAAACAATAGCATCATAATACACCAGAAGTCTACTGTTCAAATCAACCTAAAATTAGAGAAGGAAGCTTTGAGTTCTGTATCCATTTTCAAAGCATCAACTCACAATGAAGGAAAGCTAAAGCAAAAGAATATAGATAGAAAAAAAAGGCGCTACCCTTCTCTGACCTCAACGTAGGGAACTCAAGCCGCATTAATGCCTCACAAAAGAGCCCTTGTCCTGGAGATTTCGTCAAATATTGACCCAAATCCTTTTCAGAACTTGCAATACTCTGTAAATGTAGAGCACAACACATTCAAAGTAAAAACAGAAACCACAAGGAAATTATATTTTAAAAAACAAATTGTTGATAATTCAGCAAAGAAACGGAAGTTGGAAGATAGAAAGAAAATGTTTCCACGATCATGAAACTTTCATATCAAGGAAATGACCTTCACAAAACTATTAAATTCAATATATTTGTACCTTTTGTCTACTTAAGAGTTATCAATATACCCCTGAAATTCCAATGCTCCAATTCAAATGATGAGTGATGGAGATATAAGGGTTGTTACACTTTCAGACCAGCAACATCATAATGCAGGGAAGCACAAAATTAGAACATTGGAGATGAAAAAATATGGCCCTCTCATTGTCTGACTTAAAGCAGAGGAACAAGAACTGCAATATGTAGGACTATTTCTAGATAAGACCACCAAAATTACAAAGCAGCAGCCAGACACTTTCTTTGGGTATAAGGTAAAATGCATTAACTAAAAACTCACCTTCAGTGTGCTTTGGACATAACAGATATATATAGTTCAAACACTTTTGGAAGAGTTGCCTGGAGGTTTCTGACCTACCTGTAATGTAGAGATATCAAACCAATCAATGTTCAAAGGAGTCCAAAATCCTTGAAACACTTCAAACATTGGCAATTTTAATTATTCTAAACATTTTAGGATTACAATCATACTAGCAATCGATATGGTAAAGATATTCTGACACTTTTTCATAGCTACATTTCATAATTTGATTATTGATAAGNCCTTCACAATACTGTTAAATTAAATATATTTGTACCTTTTGTCTACTTAAGAGTTATCATATACCTTGAAATTCCAAGGCTCTAATTCAAATGATGAGTGATGGAAATAAGCATTGTTACAATTTCACACCAGCAACATCTCAATGAAGGAAAGCCCAAAAGCAGAACATTGGAGATGAAAAAAGATGGCCCTCTCATTGTCTAACTTAAAGCAGAGGAACAGGAGCTGCAATGCCTCAAAAAACTACACAAAGGCCTTATTACTTGAAGTTTGACCTAAATCAGCATTTGATACTGTTGACGTTCTGAATCTTTGGCAAAATATATTGGAAGTTAAAAAGCATGATTAGTGGAGAGATGTCTTTAAACTGTAAACTGATGATAGTATTTTGATTGAAGAAAATTGAAAATTTGAGTAAATATTTCTATATAACCATATGACGTTTTATAGTGACACATTAACATAATTACCAGTTCTGATATAGTAGTTGCTGTATGCTCAGGAGTTTATTGATTCCCACATAGATGTCTCACATGATTTATCCTTAACTAAAAATCAGGCTATAAGTAAGACTTTGTGCTCTGTTTACTGCCATTTAATACTTTAATAATGCACTGATCTGTTTATGATAATTTCAAATGGAATAACTAAGAACTCACCTCAGGCGTGCTCTAGACATGAAAGATATATGTAGTTCAAGCACTTTTGGAAGAGCTGCCTGGAAGTTCCTGACCTACCTGTAATGTAGAGATATCAAACCAATAAATGTTCAAATAAATCCAACCAAACCCTTGAAACAATTCAAACATCGCCAATATTAATTATTCTAAACATTTTAGGATTACAATTGTTCACTTTTTCATAGATACATTTCATAATCTGATTGTTTACATATGTTTGTGGGTAAGAGCTCGTGTGTTTCCAAATTTCTTGAGACTTGTAACAAAGACAACACAATGGTGATTACAACAAAACAATGAGTCTAGCATAGGATGGCTATGAGATATAAGCAATTGAATTGGTTTGTGTGATCAGTACAAAGATGAAGATTAAGTGGAATGATTATAACAACTTTTGATGACAATTTCACCAAATAGAGTAATCATACATCAAAGGTTTGTCAATACACATTTTCCAAGGTACATAAAAATTCATAATTCACACATTCATTCATTTAGACACATAATTCATACTCACGTCACGAATACAGAGCACCACATCAGAATTTTGAATGATTTATACCAGCTTTTGAGGAACAAAAATTTATGAAATAGATTTATAATGCACCAGAAGTTCATTACATTGACAGATTCTGAGACACGCACAAATTCACATATCCATAGGCACATAATTTATACTTCCAAGTATTGAATACAATGCAAAGCAACAGAATGAAATACAACCTTCACTGTTCAAATCAACCTCAAATATGTGAAGAAAATAACTTCTTCTAAACTTTCAAAGCAAAACGAACAATGAAGATAGAAAATAAACATCCTTCCACTCTCTAACTTCAGCATAAGGAACACGAGCTACAGAATATCTCACAAACCAGTTTGAAAATAAAGTTGTATTCCAAAGATTGCATCAAAGTTTGACCTGAATCTGATAGATACCTTCCAATACTCAATCAAACCACAATAATAACAGCAACAACACTCAGACTCAACCCAGAAAAATATCAACAAACAGTAGCCAAANGCTTTTGAGGAACAAAATTTCATGAAATAGATTTATAATACCAAAAGTTCATTACTTTGACATATTCTAAGGCTCGCACAGATTCATATATCCATAGGCACATAATTCATACTTCTAAGTATTGAATACAATGCAAAGCAACGGAATAAAATACAACCTTCACTGTGCAAATCAACGTCAAATATGTGAAGAAAATAAAGCACGAACAATGAAGATAGAAAATAAGTATCCTTCCACTCTCTGACTTCAGCATAAGGAACACGAGCTACATAATACCTCTCAAACCAGTTAGAAAATAAAGCCTTATTCCGGAGATTGCATAGATACCCTCCAATATTCAATCAAACCAAAACAATAACAGCAACAACACTCAGACTCAACCTAGAAAAATATCAACAAACAGTAGCCAAACCCATAAAATAAAAGTCAAGTCTATTTATATTCTAGCAAACCAAATACACAGAAGAATTAAATTTAGCAATGACCTTTCCACTTTTTTCTTTTCTGAATATCGCCCCCAATTCTCCCTGTCTACTTTTTATCTATTCAAACTCTCTCCACAACAGAATTCCTCAGTTAGCCACACTCTTATTGCCACCTGTCCCATATAATTCTTCCTTAACATTCATACGCCTCTTACTGCCACCTGTCCCACATAATTAATTCGTCCTTAACATTTACACGCCTAGGACCCTTTTGCCCAACTACTAATAATCCTCTACCACCCATTCCTACATTTCTTACTATAGACAAACACATCAGGTGTTTCATCAGAATCTTTTTTAGAACTCTAATCATTCTATAAAGATAGAATACAACACATTGAAAATAAAGATTGAGCTATCAAGAAAATGTTATTTTGAACAGCAAATCTTCCACTCACGACCTTCATTCTGCTATTATATATAAGTTATATCGTAGCTTTTGTATAATAAAGAGTTATTAACCCAGCAGAGATATGCATTATTAAACAAAAATGAAACTAGTGTCCTAGCAGTAATGATTGATATACATAACAAAGTTAATTGATAAAAGAATACGTACCGCTTCCTTGAATAGATGTTGTATAGTTGTATTAAGGTCACCCTCCCAATGCCCTTCATCATCATCGTTTTTCTCCTTCACTTTGTCCAATTTTGGTGTACTTAAGACTCCTCTAGAGAAAGTGTTCATCTTGGGGCAATTCCTAACCATCATGTCTTCCAAAGCTGGGAATTTGAAGGTCTGATTTCCAAAGCAAAAGCTTCTGAGGCTTTCTAAATCCCAAAGTCTTAGGGACTTTAATTTACTGAAAACAATTTCATCTTTTTCAACATCTCCTGTATTTGCTACTATTTCAACCATCGTCTCACAACCTCTTATGTACATCTTTTCAAGGTTCACCATACTTTTGGCCGTTGAGGATGTTACTAAGTTTACCAACCCATCACATTTCCATACATTCAGAGTTATTAGATTGTCAAAAGATGTTGAAGATGGCACTAGATTAATCAAATTGTGACACTGATACACTAATAGCTCTTCAGGATTTCGAAGAATTGAGACCTGATGAGAATCTTGTTTCCACACGTGCTTCAAATTGAAAAGTCCCTCAAGCTTTAACTGTTTAATATGTGTGAGCATCCCAATATGTTTCTCACCCTCTCCACATGAAAACAACTCTTGGTATGAATTTCCTTTTAATACGAGTTTTTCAAGATTGTTAAATCTCCAAAGGATTTCAATGGGCATATTTGTTGGTTCATTTTGAATAACATTAAGAACTTTCACTTTGGAAAACCGATGTTCTGGAAACTGATTTGGCCACATAGACATGATGTCTTTTCCACTTAATGTCAATTTCTCAAAATTGGAGTTTACCTAAAGTTCAATCATATAAATCATGTCAAAACAGATGTTCCAAACAATTTTACGCAAAATTAGAAATTTGTATATTTTCAACAATAACAAAAAAATCATAAATCTAAATTAAAAGAGATGAAAATGATTAAATTAACAGTTAGCAATTTACCTTCATTATATTTTCCTTCGACTGGGTTTTGTTTCTCTTGAATGAAATATTAAAGATCTAGTGTACTACATGGGTTAGGGAAATTAGGATTCAATTTAATATTGAGTAATAATTTTTTCATTTGTTTTATTAAGTAATAATTTTTTTCATTTGTTTTATTCGGTGGTCATTATTTGTTTTAGTGTTTTATTTGTTACAATTGAGTTTGGGGGTCATTGGGATAACAGCTTGTGGTTACAGGAGGAGGCGACAACATTGAGATGTGTAAAGCTAAAAACTTAACTCTTGTTTATGTATATATAAATATAATCATTCAAATGGAGATTATCTATTTTGGAAATTTGGAGGAGTGATATGGTTTTAAATATATAATTTAAGCAAATTAATGAGATTAATATAAAAAGAAGTGCACGAGGGTGTATTTAGCAGGAGTGGGGTGGGTGCGCCAGCCTTTACTCTCACTTTTCATTTGTTTTAGTGTAATTAGGATTCAATTAAATTAATTTGATTTTTTTTTTTATATTTTATCATGTTAATGTAAATAGGATTCAGTCAATATTTATAATCTAATTAACAATTATTTTAAACCTTTTTCAAGGGTAAAAAGTCCTTAAACACAAAATGGTAAAACTTTGGACTATTAATATGCTAAAATTTTGAGCTAAAAGATATATATATATATTATATATATATATATATATAATATATATATCTTATATATAATATATATATATTTAATATTATTCTTTTATTCATTTTCAAAAGATTTTATCAAATAAAACTTTATATTATAAAATTCATTATTTTGCATCAGATAGAAAGTAAGTTAATATACTTGAGAACAATATGTTTTAAATTGCTCAATTAGAATTAAATTTTGAAGTGTTTTATAAATCCTAATCAAAATGTCAACACGTGTGTATGTTGAAGAGGCTAGTGACAGTCTCTTGCAATACTTGTTAGTTAATTTTTTTTATTATTAAAGAAAGAAAAAAGGCTCATACCTTGTATTCTGAAGTGAATATGTGTAAATTCTGACAATAAGGAATCTCCAACCTCTTTAACTTGGGCCAACTTGAAGTGTGTATTCCAAGGTAGAAAGT